CTGATGTGACTGTCTGTGTTTGGTGGCCCTGCTGGGCAGGGGGTTGGAACTGCGTGATCCTTGAGCTCCCTTCAACCCGGCTGATTCTGTCATCCTGTGTGATTCTGATTCTGTGAACCCATAGGAACCAAGAGGACCCATAGAGCCCCATAGGAACCCATAGAGCCCCATAGGAACCCATGGGAACCCATAGAACCCATAGGAACCAAGGGGACCCATAGAGCCCCATAGGAACCCATAGAGCCCCATGGGAACCCATGGGAACCGATAGGAACAAAGGGGACCCATAGAGCCCCATAGGAACCCATAGAGCCCCATAGGAACCCATGGGAACCCATAAGAACCAAGGGGACCGATAGAGCCCCATAGGAACCAAGGGGACCCATAGGAACCCATAGGAACCCATAGAGCCCATAGGAACCCATAGGAACCCACAGAGCCCCATAGGAACCCATAGGAACCCACAGAGCCCCATAGGAACCCATAGAACCCATAGGAACCCACAGAGCCCCATAGGAACCAAGGGGACCCATAGGAACCCATAGGAACCCATAAGAACCCACAGAGCCCCATAGGAACCAAGGGGACCCATAGGAACCCATAGGAACCCATAAGAACCCACAGAGCCCCATAGGAACCCATAGGAACCCATAGGAACCCATAGGAACTCATAGGAAGCCATAGGAAGCCATCCAAGCTGAGGGAGGGAAGATTTCAGTTGGATGTGAGGGGGAAGCTCTTCCCAAGGAGAGCGGTTAGGGCCTGGAACGGGCTGCCCAGGGAGGTTGTGGATGCCCCGTCCTTGGCCGTGTTCAAGGCCAGCTTGGACGGGGTCCTGGGCAACCTGATGTGACTGTGTGTGTTTGGTGGCCCTGCTGGGCAGGGGGTTGGAACTGCGTGATCCTTGAGCTCCCTTCAACCCGGCTGATTCTGTGATCTGTGATTCTGATTCTGTGAACCCATAGGAACCAAGAGGACCCATAGAGCCCCATAGGAACCCATGGGAACCCATAGAACCCATAGGAACCAAGGGGACCCATAAAGCCCCATAGGAACCCATAGAGCCCCATAGGAACCCATAGAGCCCCATAGGAACCCATGGGAACCCATAGAACCCATAGGAACCAAGGGGACCCATAGAGCCCCATAGGAACCCATAGAGCCCCATAGGAACCCATGGGAACCAAGGGGACCCATAGGAACCAAGGGGACCCACAGAGCCCCATAGGAACCCATAGGAACCCATAGAGCCCTATAGGATCCAAGGGGACCCATAGAACCCATAGGAACCAAGGGGACCGATAGAACCCATAGGAACCAAGGGGACCCATAGAGCCCCATAGGAACCAAGGGGACCCATAGGAACCCATAGGAACCCATAGAACCCATAGGAACCCACAGAGCCCATAGGAACCCATAGGAACCCACAGAGCCCCATAGGAACGAAGGGGACCCATAGGAACCCATAGGAACCCACAGAGCCCCATAGGAACCCATAGGAACCCATAGGAACCCACAGAGCCCCATAGGAACCCATAGGAACCCATAGGAACCCACAGAGCCCCATAGGAACCCATAGGAAGCCATAGGAAGCCATCCAAGCTGAGGGAGGGAAGATTTCAGTTGGATGTGAGGGGGAAGCTCTTCCCAAGGAGAGCGGTTAGGGCCTGGAACGGGCTGCCCAGGGAGGTTGTGGATGCCCCGTCCTTGGCCGTGTTCAAGGCCAGCTTGGACGGGGTCCTGGGCAACCTGATGTGACTGTGTGTGTTTGGTGGCCCTGCTGGGCAGGGGGTTGGAACTGCGTGATCCTTGAGCTCCATTCAACCCGGCTGATTCTGTGATCTGTGATTCTGTGATCTCTGCTATTACTGGACAGCAACAGATCACTCCTCAATCCTACCTTCAGCGTCTCGCAGCACGCAGCACTGCGATGAGTTTTTTCTCTTCCAAATCCATGGAGCAACAAACTGCCTGCGGTGCAGCAGCTCAGCCCTGCTCTTGGCAGCAGCTCTGTAAAGGAGAGCCAAGTCTGCAGGCAGCTGTGGGGATCCGATTGAATAAAGCCGATGATCAGAGCACCGACCCAGAGTTTGTCGGAGCTTCAGGAGTCAGCAGAGCAGAAGCTTCCTCAGTAGAAGCAGAATGAATGCAAACCTTTCTCTAATGACACACTATATGCTAATGGCAATAAAGATAGGCAGTAACTAATGTAGTAAAGGTGATGAAAGAAGGCTGAGCTCTGCCAGGGGATGAGCACAAAATCATTTGTGGAGGGAGAGGGTAAATTTACCCCTATTAAGGAACATCTGTAAAATCACATCCTGAAGAGCACCTTTGAGCTCCTGTTTCCTCATGCTGTCTATGAGGGGCTTCACTGTCGGAGGCACCACTGAGCGCACAGCAACACCACCAGGTACAGAGATGGAGATGGAGGAGGGCTTAATGTAGGCAGACACAGCAGTGCCGATGAACCACGGCCAGGCGAGGGAGGCTTTGTGTCGTCCGTGCTTGGAGAATCATAGAATCATAGAATCATAGAATCACCAAGGTTGGAAAAGACCTAAAAGCTCATCCAGTCCAACCGTTCACCTATTCCCAATAGCTCCTACTAAACCATCTCCAGCGCATCCCAGATCTGCATAGAGGAGAAAAGAATAAAAAGCTAGCGCACAAACGCTACGCAGACACCAGCCATAACAGCCCGAACTCCCCTAAGGCAGGAGTTTGTGCTTATTGCCACGAGCTCTGCTGCCCAGGAAAGTGTGGAGGTTGGTAGACGGCCGCAGCGTTCGTATGCCAGCGAGAAGGGAGTGCCGTGCTGCAGGCAAGAAGGAAATGAAAAAGACCTGGGCAACACATCCTGCATCAGAAGCACCAGAAATGTTCCCGGTGCCCCAGAGAGCTTTGGCCATGGCTTCGGGGCAAGCGGAGGAGATGCAGCCCAGGTTGAGGAGAAGTCCAGGCGCTGGTCACAGCCCACGGCTGCGATGAAGAGGCTGCGGTCCAGCAGGGCAGCCAGGCAGACGCCCAGGAAGAGCTGCAAGTGCAGGAGCTGCAACCCCTGTGTGCCTGCAAGCGTCAGGAGGGAGAACTCTGAGAGGGAGCTGCTGTTGGACCTTCGTAGTCTCTGGACACCATGACCTACTTATGGAAGGAAATCTCCTGTAGGGAGATCCATGCTGCAGATGGACAGCAGACCACAGGGTTGCTATGGGGGAAAGATATGCACTGCAGTTATGGCACGGAGGAGCCCGGATCCCCGGCCCCACGGCATTTCCAGGGGCAGCTCCCTCTCCCCGATTACGTCTCTGCTGCCTGCAGATGTCCCTGTCTCTACCTCCATCCCCACAAGCCCTCCCTGCTGTAGACTGGCGCCTGCTGCAGACTCAGCTCTGCCTTGCAGGCCCCTCTCGGCAGCAGGGCTCTGCCCAGGGCTGTTTCAGTGCGGTCAGGCGCTAAGGGCCACGTGGCACAGGCCCTGGTGACACCGGACATGCAATGACAGCGCTTTCTATTGGCAGAAGGGCAGAAAGGAACTCGCTGGGGGAGCGTAAGGCTTCGGATCCTCAGTATTTTGTTGTCAGCAAGTGCGAAATTGCGAGACCCCCCCGCGGGGTCTGATGTGCTGAGCTCCCTCCCTGCTCCAATGATTGATGTGTGATGTGGGCCCCTAGGGGCGCAGACGAAGCAATTAGGCTGTATAAGGTCATTAATACGTGTAATAAACGCCATTTGACTGCTCATATATTGGTGTCACCTCGGTCATTGGCCAAGCTGCGGTCTCCTGGGAAAGCAGAACGGGCGCGTAGTGCAACAGTATTTTCTTGGACGTTGCAGCCTCTATTTTCACTCCTTGTGACGCAAAGAAAACGGAAAGGAGAGACTCAGGAAAGGCAGACTTGAAGCAGGTAACCCTGCGTACGACTCTCACGGTGCAAAGCCCCACCAGAAATACACTGGGGTCCTGTGTAGCAGAGAATTCCCTACTCCGTGCAGCAGCCTTTGGCTGCACAAGGCACCCGCCCAGCCTGGGGGGCTCCTTACCCACACGCTTCTCCCCGCAGCGCCCTGGGCAGGCTGAGTGCTGAGCCTGGCAGGCGTCCTGTGAGCTCCATTGCAGCCACATCAAGAACAACTGCGCTTGCTCAGTGGCCATACGGGTGCAGAGAGGGGGGGGAAAAGGCAAAAGCGAGGAGCGGAAACTGAAAGGGCACAGAGGGAAATTCCCAATTGTTTGAAGGGGAAAACCGTCGCCGCGACTGGGTGTCAGTGCTGGGTCAGGAGAAACTGCGGATCGAGCTGATCTCAGTGTCAGGCTTGTCACGGAGTTGACCAGATCAATCCATGTCCGTGACAGGGGCTGCAGGCCTCTGTCCTCCCCCCCCCCCCCCCACCCCAGTCCCACAAGAATGGGAAGGAAGGAAGGGAGGAAAAGAGCAGCGGCAACAATCTATGGAGGAAAACTTATTTTACTATAATATCGGAATACAAGATAACACAATAGATACAATTTAATTGAAATTGAGATGAATAAATCAGACAAGATGAGAGAGAGAGTTCCCGGGACCGATTCAAACCTGAAAAGCTTGGAACGGCCAGGAAAGCACCTCCAGCATCCACTGCAAGGCAGCAAGAGAGCGGCCCCCCACCCGGAAGGGCCAGATCTGTGACTGCTGTAATGTACAGGGATAGGAACTGGGATTGGGGCAGTGACACTTTAATGCCCCGTGCACTACATGATGTTTGGATGTGGAATGCCGAAACCCAAAATAAAACAAACAAACATAGAACCATGACAAGGCTGTTCCTGTTCAGGGCAAACGACGGTTCTCCTTCTGATACAAAATCCCGTCAGAGCAACACGGAGGCATCGCCGGCCTCTGCAATCCCTGCCTGTCCCCCTCCTCAGGACTGCACACTGAACGTGTGCCCTGTCGGAAGGAGATTCTTCTCTATGGGCTGAGGGCCATGGCGGAGAACGGGGACACAAAAGGAAACCGTCAAGCGTGGTCTTTGTCACACTCAGGACACTGAGTGGGGATGTGCAGGTGGGAGAGCAGCGCGGAACTCCTCTTGCAGCCCTTCCCACCCTCGTCGCAGACGTAGGGTTTGCCTCCTGTGGGGATGTGCTGGGGGGAGCTGAGGTCAGAATTGCTCTCCTCACGCTCACAGCGCTTGTAGGCTTTCTGTGCTCCGTGGGTACGCTGGTGAATGGCGACCTGGGAGCTGCTTCTGAAGGCTTTCGCGCACTCAGGGCACTTGTAGCGTTTTTCCCCTGCGTGGATGCGTTGGTGGACCATGAGTTGAGACTTGCTTTTGAAGCCCTTTGCACACTCGGGGCATCCGTAAGGTCTTTCTCCGGTGTGGATACGCTGGTGGATCATGAGCTGGTAACTGGTTTTGTAGTCTTTTGCACACTCGGAACACTTGTAAGGCCTTTCTCCCGTGTGGATGCGCTGGTGGCATTTAAACTCAAAACTGCTTTTGTAGCCCTTTCCGCAAATGGAACATCTGTAGGGTCTGTCTCCCGTGTGGATGCGCCGATGGGTCAGGAGGTGAGAACTGGTTTTGTAGCCCTTGCCGCACTCGGTGCACTTGTAGGGTCTCTCTCCCGTGTGAACGCGCTGATGGATCACAAGGTGGGATCTTCTTTTGAAGCCCTTTGAGCATTCGGAGCATTTGAACGGCCTCTCTCCAGTGTGGATGCGCTCGTGGATCAGCAGGTTGGAGCTGCTTCTGAAGCCCTTCTCGCACTCGGCGCATTTGTAGGGCCTGTCTTGTGAGTGGGTGCGCGCATGGTAGTCGAGCTGAGAACTGCTCTTGAAGCTCTTGTCACACTTGTGGCACTTGAAGGGTTTGTCTCCCGCGTGGATGCGCTGATGGGCAGCAAGGCAGGAACGATCCTTAAAGCCTTTCCCACCCCCATCGCATGGGTTCTGCCCATTCTTCTGGAAGACTTCCCTGCTGCTCAGCTCTTTTGGCTGCTTCTGACCTTGGCCGCAGTCCAGGCTTTCCCTCGCTCTCTTTCCCGGAGGCTTCCTCAAGTGCTTCCCTTGCTCCAGGCCTCCTTGGGATTCCCTTCTGGCTTTTCCAAGAGAGAGGTCACCCCACGGACCTGCAGGCACACCGCTCTCCCGCAGATTCTCCTTTACATTTGCGATCCCATCACCTGCTGGATGACGGAGGAAATTCAGAACTAGCTTACTGTGCCCAAAACATGCAGCAGCCGATCCCACGGGGGCTTTTGCCAACCCCAACCTCCTCCACCACCTCACCTGGGCACACGTCTCCTGCCATGTCCTTCAGGCCGTGTACATCCGGGAGCCAGGGATCTTCCCCTCCTTCAACCAGGGAGATCAGCGCAGGTTTAGATGCTTAAATGATAGAAACAGTGGAGATGAAAGCATTGTCTCGATTCTGGCAAAGCTGCTGTTGAAATACCTCCACCGTGCGTCCCCTCCCTTCTTATGAAACCACAACTGGGGCCAGAGCGACACGGGGCCAACAGAGGCCGCCTTGCTTTGGAATACAGTTGGATCTTCCATCTCTGAAAATTACGCCGGGGCTTTTATTAACAAACACGACGCGCAGCAACGCAAGGGAAGCATGCAGGGCGCTGATCCTCCCCCTCCTGACTGATGCCAACAGTGCATCTGAGTCTTCTATCGGGGCGGTCAGCGTACAAACGGCTTCTGAAGCTCATGCATGAAGCGTCAGTCAGCAGGTAATTCTGACATATTTGATCACTGTCCTGCTTGCAAAGACCCATCTGTACAGCCTAAGGCGCCTAAGGACAAGCAGGAACAGCAGCAAAGCCCTCACCCAGCGAGGCCACGCACGCGTACGTCTCCAGCATCACATCCCGGTACAGCGCTCGCTGCGCAGGGTCCAGCAGCGCCCACTGCTCCCTGCTGAAATACACGGCCACCTCCGCAAAGCTCACGGGCTCCTGCAAGCAAAGAGGCTCCTTGCTGCAACCACCCGTGGCCTGGGGAAACAGCCGGTGGAGGAGAGAAACCCCAGCCTCAGCAGCTTCTCTCCCCAAACGCTGGGCAAGGGCAGCTCGTTCTCCTCCCCCTGCGCTCACATCCCTCGCACCTCCGCCTCGCCGCCTGCTTCCCCGAGCCCCCGCCTGGGATGGATGCGCTGCGGCCATTTGCTGCTCTCCTGCAGGCCAGGATGAACACAGGAGAAAGGCAGGCAGCCTGTGGGGACAAGAGGAACAGTCGGCCGGTTGTGAGGGGATGCAGCAGCCCTCATCCAACCCAGGCCTTCCCAGCTGTGGCAGGCGAACCCAGCAGCGGCTCAGCGCCACGCCGCCCTTGGATTGCTGCCCACACAGGAAGAGAACCGGAAGCAAAACAGAACTTGTGGGTTGAAATGACACCCGCTGACCAAAACAGGAGAGCAAACAGAAGCAAAAATGCAATGAAATAAAAGAAGCGTGCATACGTAAACACACGCAAGGCGGTTGCTCACCATCCACTGCCAGAGCAATGCATGCCTCAAGCAGCCTCTCCCCCTCAGCACCTCCCACGGCTGCCTGTTTCTAAACATTTTTCATCACGTTCCTTTCTCCCCCTGCTCCTTTTTGGCAAGGAGGTGTGAGTGAGGCAGGTGATGGTGCTCAGCTCTCTGCTGCTGTCCAACCAACACTCAGGCGTCCTCTGTCTCTTGGGATGCAAAGGCAAGGGGGAAGGAAGAGAGCTTCTGCAGGAAATGCAATTGGAGCCCCGCGCCTGAGCCAACGCAGCAGCTTGTGTGCAAAGGGAGCTTCAGCTGCAGGGAGGGCCTGAACAAAAGCCTTCGGAGGGGGCTGCACCATGAAGGGTGCCTCGTCCTGTGGTTCAGGAGGTAGCAGAAGCCTCAGAGCGAGCGAGCAATCAAGCTGACTGCTCAGCGAACAACAGGCAGCGTTAGAAGTGCCACCAGAGGAAGATCTCGTCTGCTGGATCCCCAGAGGGTCTTTGGGGACTGGTGGGGTGGGAAATGAAAAGTACCGACTTGGAGGCTTCAGATAAGAGTCAAAAGGGAGCTGGGGGTTTTCAGAACATCCTGGAGTCCTTATGTGCAGAGGTGTGGAGCGGGGCCATTTCAATCAATGGGTCCCTGTGGGTCTCTATGGGGTCTGTGGTGTCTGTATGGGTTCCAATGGGTCCCAATGGGTTCTATGGGGTCTCAATGGGTCTCAATGGGTTCCAATGGGTCCCAATGGGTTCTATGGGGTCCCAATAGGTCCCTATGGGTTCTATGGGGTCTATGGGGTCTCAATGGGTCTCTATGGGTTCCTATGTGTCCCAATGGGATCTATGGGGTCTCAATGGGTCCCTGTGGGTCTCTATGGGGTCTGTGGGGTCTGTATGGGTTCCAATGGGTCCCAATGGGTTCCTACGGGTTCTATGGCGTCTATGGGGTCTCAATGGGTCCCAATGGGTTCTATGGGGTCTCAATGGGTCGCTGTGGGTCTCTATCGGGTCTGTGGGGTCTCAATGGGTCTCTATGGGTTCCTATGTGTCCCAATGGGATCTATGGGGTCTCAATGGGTCCCTGTGGGTCTCTATGGGGTCTGTGGTGTCTGTATGGGTTCCAATGGGTCCCAATGGGTTCCTATGGGTTCTATGGTGTCTATGGGGTCTCAATGGGTCCCAATGTGTTCTATGGGGTCCCAATGGGTCCCTATGGGTTCTATGGTGTCTATGGGGTCTCAATGGGTCTCTATGGGTTCCTATGTGTCCCAATGGGAACTATGGGGTCTCAATGGGTCCCTGTGGGGTCTCTATGGGGTCTGTGGGGTCTGTATGGGTTCCAATGGGTCCCAATGGGTTCTATGGGGTCTCAATGGGTCTCAATGGGTTCCAATGGGTCCCAATGGGTTCTATGGGGTCCCAATGGGTCCCTATGGGTTCTATGGTGTCTATGGGGTCTCAATGGGTCTCTATGGGTTCCTATGTGTCCCAATGGGATCTATGGGGTCTCAATGGGTCCCTGTGGGTCTCTATGGGGTCTGTGGTGTCTGTATGGGTTCCAATGGGTCCCAATGGGTTCCTATGGGTTCTATGGTGTCTATGGGGTCTCAATGGGTCCCAATGTGTTCTATGGGGTCCCAATGGGTCCCTATGGGTTCTATGGTGTCTATGGGGTCTCAATGGGTCTCTATGGGTTCCTATGTGTCCCAATGGGATCTATGGGGTCTCAATGGGTCCCTGTGGGTCTCTATGGGGTCTGTGGGGTCTGTATGGGTTCCAATGGGTCCCAATAGGTTCTATGGGGTCTCAATGGGTCTCAATGGGTCCCAATAGGTTCTATGGGGTCTCAATGGGTCTCAATGGGTTCCAATGGGTCCCTATGGGTTCTATGGGGTCCCAATGGGTCCCTTTGGGTTCTATGGTGTCTATGGGGTCTCAATGGGTCCCTATGGGTTCTATGGTGTCTATGGGGTCTCAATGGGTCTCAATGGGTTCCAATGGGTCCCAATGGGTTCTATGGGGTCCCAATGGGTCCCTATGGGTTCTATGGTGTCTATGGGGTCTCAATGGGTCCCTATGGGTTCTATGGTGTCTATGGGGTCTCAATGGGTCTCTATGGGTTCCTATGTGTCCCAATGGGATCTATGGAGTCTCAATGGGTCCCTGTGGGTCTCCATGGGGTCTGTGGTGTCTGTATGGGTTCTATGGGGTCTCAATGGGTCTCAATGGGTTCCAATGGGTCCCAATGGGTTCTATGGGGTCTCAATGGGTCCCTATGGGTTCTATGGGGTCTATGGGGTCTCAATGGGTCTCTATGGGTTCCTATGTGTCCCAATGGGATCTATGGGGTCTCAATGGGTCCCTGTGGGTCTCTATGGGGTCTGTGGGGTCTCTATGGGTTCCAATGGGTCCCAATAGGTTCTATGAGGCCTCAATGTGTCTCAATGGGTTCCAATGGGTCCCAATGGGTCCCTATGGGTTCTATGGTGTCTATGGGGTCTCAATGGGTCTCTATGGGTTCCTATGTGTCCCAATGGGATCTATGGGGTCTCAATGGGTCCCTGTGGGTCTCTATGGGGTCTGTGGTGTCTGTATGGGTTCTATGGGGTCTCAATGGGTCTCAATGGGTTCCAATGGGTCCCAATGGGTTCTATGGGGTCTCAATGGGTCCCTATGGGTTCTATGGGGTCTATGGGGTCTCAATGGGTCTCTATGGGTTCCTATGTGTCCCAATGGGATCTATGGGGTCTCAATGGGTCCCTGTGGGTCTCTATGGGGTCTGTGGGGTCTGTATGGGTTCCAATGGGTCCCAATAGGTTCTATGGGGTCTCAATGGGTCTCAATGGGTCCCAATAGGTTCTATGGGGTCTCAATGGGTCTCAATGGGTTCCAATGGGTCCCAATGGGTTCTATGGGGTCCCAATGGGTCCCAATGGGTTCTATGGTGTCTATGGGGTCTCAATGGGTCCCTATGGGTTCTATGGTGTCTATGGGGTCTCAATGGGTCTCAATGGGTTCCAATGGGTCCCAATGGGTTCTATGGGGTCCCAATGGGTCCCTATGGGTTCTATGGTGTCTATGGGGTCTCAATGGGTCCCTATGGGTTCTATGGGGTCTATGGGGTCTCAATGGGTCTCTATGGGTTCCTATGTGTCCCAATGGGATCTATGGGGTCTCAATGGGTCCCTGTGGGTCTCCATGGGGTCTGTGGTGTCTGTATGGGTTCTATGGGGTCTCAATGGGTCTCAATGGGTTCCAATGGGTCCCAATGGGTTCTATGGGGTCCCAATGGGTCCCTATGGGTTCTATGGTGTCTATGGGGTCTCAATGGGTCTCTATGGGTTCCTATGTGTCCCAATGGGATCTATGGGGTCTCAATGGGTCCCTGTGGGTCTCTATGGGGTCTGTGGGGTCTCTATGGGTTCCTATGGTTTCCTTGAGGAAGTGTCACTGTTCAGAAAGGTGGGCAGCACTGCAATGGGTGCCCAGGGAGGTGGGGGAGGCACCGAGCCTGGGGGTGTTCAAGGCAAGGCTGGGTGCTGTGCTGAGGGACGTGGTTCAGTGGGAGCTGCTGGGAACGGGGGAACGGTTGGACTGGGGCAGCTTGGAGGTCTTTCCCAACCTTGGGGATTCTATGATTCTATGATTCTATGGGTCCCAATGGGGTCTCTATGGGGTCTCAATGGGTCCCTGTGGGTCTCTATGGGGTCTGTGGTGTCTGTATGGGTTCCAATGGGTCCCAATAGGTTCTATGGGGCCTCAATGGGTCTCAATGGGTTCCAATGGGTCCCAATGGGTTCTATGGGGCCTCAATGGGTCTCAATGGGTTCCAATGGGTCCCAATAGGTTCTATGGGGCCTCAATGGTTCTCAATGGGTTCCAATGGGTCCCAATGGGTTCTATGGGGCCTCAATGGGTCTCAATGGGTTCCAATGGGTCCCAATGGGTTCTATGGGTTCTATGGTGTCTATGGGGTCTCAATGGGTCTCTATGGGTTCCTATGTGTCCCAATGGGATCTATGGGGTCTCAATGGGTCCCTGTGGGTCTCTATCGGGTCTGTGGTGTCTGTATGGGTTCTATGGGGTCTCAATGGGTCTCAATGGGTTCCAATGGATCCCAATGGGTTCTATGGGGTCCCAATGGGTCCCTATGGGTTCTATGGGGTCTATGGGGTCTCAATGGGTCTCTATGGGTTCCTATGTGTCCCAATGGGATCTATGGGGTCTCAATGGGTCCCTGTGGGTCTCTATGGGGTTCAAGGCAAGGCTGGATGCTGTGTTGAGGGACGGGGTTCAGTGGGAGCTGCTGGGAACGGGGGAACGGTTGGACTGGGGGAGCTTGGAGGTCTTTCCCAACCTTGGGGATTCTAGGATTCTATGATCCACTGAAATAACAAAATGCTGTTTATGGAATGGCCGAGATTTGCCACATCAAGAGTTTTTCAAAGTGTGCATCAATAGCAAATTCATCTTCCCCTGTACTTGCATTGCCCTGTGTTTGTTCTGCTGTGCATTTAATCTCGCTGATCCTTCATGCATTTCTACATGACCTTACTAAACTGACAATGTGGAAGGCTGTCGACCCAGCAGCTGCTTTGGCTTTCTGTGTCGGGATCCCCGTGTTGCACTTAGCGCTGAGTCCCTGAACCTCACTTCACGTCTTGGCATGCATTCGTCGTTCCTTCAGAAGCAATGCCTCTTAATCCCTGGGAAACCACAGCAGATACAAAGAGCACAGTAAACCTTTTGAACAGGGCAAATTCTCTGCTACAAAACACCACCGTGACGATGCGTTTGTTCCCCAGCAGTGAGCCATGCCTGCATCCCACGCTCCTAAGAATCGGCACCGGCGGAGGTGGCCCGCTGTGCCCACAGGTGGGAGGCAGCACCCGCTGCTTCACTGCAGTCACAACCACGCTCTGTTCCCCATAAACACCCAGCGAGCATCAAGGAATGCCACTGGGCACCGTTTGTTCCGTGCAGAGATTTTCCTCCACGGTCTCTGCTGTTATCTCGCGTCCTTTATCA